AACGACATCTTCTCCACCATGTTCTGCATATTCACAAAAGAAACCCCTAAAAACTTGCAGCTTTGCTTAAAACCGTGTAATTTATTTGTCGTTACACACAGACATTCCGTAGCATTAATTTGCGCATTAAAAATGCAGACTGGCTGACCGCTTCAGGCACTTTCTTTCTTAATTCCGTTAATATTCGGGGGCTCCTCTGGTTTTTGAGCGGGTAGCGTGTTTAATTGAGGCTACTTTGTAGGGTTAGCCGCAAAAATCACATTCGGTTGGGTGCTTGGATTCTGGCTCGAAGCGAAATGAATTCATTAAGTACGGCTGGGCTGTAATTCTTTCAAAAAACTAGGCGCTTATTAATAATTTATTCTGGTGTGGTGGAGAGGTGATTCGTAATTCGGAAGGAATGTGGCGAAGTGTTGGGTGTTTTTTGTTAGGAGATGTCAAAATGGTATTTCGGGATCAGGACATTTCGCACATGTAAAAAAAAATCATAGAAGCGACCAAAATCCTTACTCTAATTTTTATGCACCGTTTTTAGACATACAATAATTTCATTGAAAAACGGCCAAAAAAGAACATGACCAGAAAAGGGGCCAAAATCTTTTAAAATACCCCAATTTTTAGACATTCCAAAGTATCTCAAGATCTATAGACCAGCAAAAATTAAGTATATGAAAAAATAGTTTAAAAAGTCACCATAGCATGTCCCAATAGTATATTAAAGAACGAGTTTCATAAGGCAAATATTGAGGCACGAATCCAAGTTTATAGAACGAGCGGCGAAGCCGCGAGCTATATAAAGGATGAGTGCCTCAATGGCCTTATGAACGAGTTATTTATACTATTTTTTCTACCGCACACGTTTTTTCCCAAAATTTAATTGAAATTTGCATTTTTTTTAATCTGGGGACTTTTGTCGTGGTTGGTGATGAGTTGGTCTGACACTAACCACGAAATATTTGAGATTCGAATTTAAATAGCGCGCTTATTTTTATTTATTTTTGTTTCTGATTTTTTTAAAAGCATGTTCCTAACTTGAATGTTTCCGTACAAAATGTGTTATCTGATCTGTAGTAAAATCTTAAATGCCATACTTAATGTGAAGTTTATCTACCTAGAATAAAATGAGTGTGGAAGACGACTATGTTTAATTTTATTGATACATATAGATTCTCTAGAGCAGTTGTCAAAATCAGTCTTATCCAAGCAAGTACTAGCCCCGCCCACCCGCCCTCTATGTCCTTAGAAGATACGTCATTTGCAAAATCAGTCTCACCATAGCAGGTGCTAGCCCGCCTATCCACCCTCTATTTTGTTAGGGGGTACCTCATTTGCCAAAATCATGGCTAGTACCTGCTAAGACTGATTTTGGCAAGTGACATACTCTCTAAAAAAATAGAGGACGGGTGGGCAGGGCTAGTACCTGTTAAGAGACGAATGATTTTGGCAAATGACAAACCCTTTAAAGGGGAGGGTGGGCGGGGCGAGTACTTGTTAAGATAAGACTGATTTTGGCAAATAACATATCTTCTAAGAAAATAGAGGGCGGGTGGGCGGGGCGAGTGCCTTCTATGATGAGACTGATTTTGGCAAATAACGTATACACTTAGAAATTAGAGAGTGGGTGGGCGGGGCAAGTATTTGCTAAGATCATCAGTCTTATTTTGGTAATCTTTTAGAGAACCTACATATGCCAATAAAACTAAACATGCAATTATCATTTTCATTATTAATTTTATTCTAGGTAGATAAACTTCATATTCAGTCCAGGAATTAAGACTTTGTTACTTCTAGTGTATATAAATGAGATAAGACATTTTACGCCAGAAACATCCAAGTCATAAACATACTTTTAAGAAAGTCAGAAATATAAAAATAAATGAAAATAAACTGGCTACAGCGGACGTTGAACCGAGAGCAGAACTTAATATCCTCGTCGTAGTCCGTTACCCTTCCTGAATGTAAAGTTTATCTACTTGGAATAAAATGGGTGTTGAAAAGGATAATTTTATGGTTAATTTTATTGATATGTAGGTTCTCTAGAAGAGTTACCAAAATCAGTCTTGTCTTAGCAAGTTCTAGCCCCGCCCACCCGCCCTTTATTTTCTTAGAGGATACTTTATTTGCAAAATCAGTCTTACCTTAGCAGGTATTAGCTCCGCCCAACCGTCTTCTATTTTTTAGAGGGTATGTGTTTTGCCAAAATCATGTCTAGTACCCGTTAACATAAGACTGATTTTGGCAAATCGTAAACCCTCTAAGAAAATGAAGGGCGGGTGGACGGGGCTAGCACCTGTTAAGATAAGACTGATTACTGATAACATACCCTCTACGAAAATAGAGCGCGGGTGGATGGGGCTGGTACCTTCTAACATAAGACTGATTTTGGCAAATACCGTATACTCTAAGAAACTGGAGGGTGGGTGGGCGGGTCAAATATTTGCTAAGTTAGACTGATTCTTTTCAATATTAACTTTATTCTAGGTAGATAAACTTCATATTCAGTACAGCAATTAAGATTTTGTTAGTTCTAGTGTATATAAATGAGATAAGACATTTTACGTAGAAATATCCAAGTAATGAACATACTTTTAAGAAAGTCAGAAATATAAAAATAAATGAAAATAAACTGGCTACAGCGGACGTTGAAAACGAGAACGAAATTTAAGATCCTCGTCGTAGTCCATCACCGTTCTTCGTGGTGATTTTACTCTATAGACAGGTATAATACATACTCCACATTTCTATGCCCCAAAAACCTGCCGCATATTATAGTCTTCATCCGGTTTTCGCAAACTGGGCAGCTATAAAACCAAGCAGCGGTTTCATGTCGATGCGGATCTCACCAAGAAGTCTCAATTTTAATATCTATTTCGGCAACCACAAAACCGCAAAATTAAACTAGAAATGCCGCGTCAACTTGTTTTTCTTTTTCTAATTAAGTTAAAATTCTCTTGGTCTAGAGTTGATTCGCTGTAGCTTGCTTATTTTTGTTTGTTTTATTATTTCTGATTTTCTTAAAAGAAGAATGTTTCTGTACAAAATCTTTTATCCCACCTACATGTACTAGAGGTTACAAAGTATTAATTGCTAACTGAATGTGAAGTTTATCTACTTGGAATAAAATGAGTGTTGAAAAGGATAATTTTACTTTTGTCTAGAACAGTTGCCAAAATTAGTCTTATCTTGGCAGGTACTAGCTCCGCCCACCCGCCCTCTATTTTCTTAGACGATACGTCATTTGTCAAAATCAGTGTTATCTTAGCGAGTACTAGTGACGCCCACCCGCCCTTTATTTTCTTAGAAAGTACGTCATTTGCCAAATCAGTCTTATCTTAGCAGGTACTCGCTCTACCCATCCGCTTTCTATTTTCTTAGAGGGTATGTGATTTGCCAAACTCATGGCTAGGATCTGTTAAAATAAGACTGATTTTGGCAAATGACATACCCTCTAAGAAAATCAAGGGCGGGTGGGCGGGGCTAGGACGTGCTAAGATAAGACTGATTTTGGCAAATGACATACCTTCTAAGAAAATGATTGACGGGTGGGCAGGGCTACTACCTCCTAAGAGACGACTGACTTTGGCAAATGACATACCCTCTAAGAAAATAAAGGGCGGGTGGGCGGGGCTAATACCTGTTAAGATAAGACTGATTTTGCCGCGTCAACTTGTGTCTCTTTTTTTAATTAAGTACAAATTCTATTGCTCTCGAACTGATAACGAGGACGGAATGAATATTAAAACTACTTAAATTAATTACGATACACTCATGAATTTCAAGTTACACAAAAAATACAAAAAACACGTATTTAATACAATCAAAGTCACAATCAGCTGGTCTCTGAAACGCAACGCTCTAAGGCAGCTTATAGAGAATAAATGTTCAATTCAAGTCGTAAAATATTATTAAACCTACAAGAAAATTATTACACCTAAAGCAAACGATTAAACTTGCAAGATCCTTTCTCTCGAAATGGGTCAACGTTTAGATTAGTATAAGTGCCATAAATGAACAATTAGTAATCTCGAGTGAGAAGTTAAAAAGTGTGTTATACTGTAACACTTAAGTAAAAACATCCAGGAACTTTGATTATAATTTAATAAAGAAACGAATGAAGCCATGAACAATTTCATGAACAATTTCATGACTGTTAAATTGTGTTAGAACTAGAAACACTTAAAAATTTACAAAAAATAAAACGAAAGGAAAAGAAAAAACACATGTGGACGGTGTCGTCAGAGTTTTACATATTTCAAAATAAATATCCGTTAATTAACTGATTTTACAGTAATTACTTCGTTAAAGAGGACTGTGGCGGCAAATGCGATTCATTTTTGCTTAAACATTTTTATGAACTTACAAACTAGATTGAACTTACCACTTTTTAGACACATATTTTGAATAATGGCACAAAACAACCAGTGACCACCAAAACAGGAAGTGACTGCCCTTTCAAAAATTTACGTGACCTGCATTGGCAACCCCTACCAACTTAAAGGGTGGTCTACTGAATTCTCCCTAGCGCTCCAGTCCTGCATGGTTGATTGCCCACTTTACTGAAGTCATACGACAGACAGACAGACAGACAAACGGGGACGTATTGTTTCATACTTTAGGGGTCTTGAAACGTCGAGAAAATATAAAAGGAGCCATTCGCCTCAGTTTACACTTCGTCCGGATGAATCAGTTTGTTTTTAAATACCAGTAAGACTTTAAACTATATTTTTTAAAGAACCAATATTTAATCATACACTGTGATGATGCCATCGATTTTCCGGAATGAAACGATGTTGGTGTCTGCTTACCAAAATCAAAAGTTTTTTTTTAATGGAATAAGTAAAGATACATAAGTATAAATTCTTTTGTATGTGAAATGCATTTAATAAATTAAAAATCTCATAATAAAATATTTACTAAAAACTTTGCACATAGAACCTATGTACATACCAGTTATTAACAAAAAAAATATTTATAGTCAGTATATCTATATACTCGTAGCTTTTTATGTATTGTTGACAAAAATGGGTTTACAATTTTGTTAATTACCCCTAGTAATTAATTTGTCGTAAAAGAGCAAAATACGACCAAGAATTCCTCAAAATCTAAAAAATTAATATACCATAGAAGAAACTCATAATAGTAAGAAGGAGATTATAAACTAAAATTTTACAAGTTTCTTCAACGCATAAATGACTTAACCTGGCTCGACTAGGTCTGACCTGACCTAGTTAATCGAACAGGCATTTAAACCATAATTTTTTAGTTTTATAACCTCTTTTCCAATATTAAATAAAATAACATACCGCAGTAAAAGTGTCCAAGGATAAACCAAAAAAATTAACAGCCCTTAGTTTAATAGGTCTTCCACACTGCATCAAAAAGAACACCATAACTTTCCTAATTTGCACAGAAGAATTAATCCAGAAACCAGATTCATAAGCACAATAGGAAATTTCATTACTCTAAAAATTTTCCATTTAATTGGGTGATTATCGTTCTAACCAAATAAACCTTAAGTATGACTTCGTTTCCAAACCAACAGTACACGAAAACCTGGGTAAAAACTGCAGACTGACAACACAGCAGAGTATAAAACTCGGGAGTTAGAGGTGTAACCTTAAAAAATAAAATTAAAGACAAACTTACTTTAATTTAATCACACCCACCAAAGTCAGTTGGAACAAAGTCATACAAATAGAAATCACACTCGTCATAAATTGTCCAAAGGTCATAATGCTCAAAAATTCATTCGTATTTTCAGAGAACCTAAAATTTGATTTTTAATTGCTACTTTAAAAATACTTCAAAGAAACAAAAGTTACTGTAAAATTTTTTGATGATGCTTCACACAGCGGACGAATTTAACAAACCCTTTATTCTTCTCCTCGAATTTTAAATTTTTCAAATGATCACATAATAATTCACACTGAGCAGCGATATACATCAACAGCGCCGAAATAAAAGCGTCCACATTCTGGTTAGTGAAAGCTATGAAGTAGTTGGCGATTATTTGATAAATGTAGGTGATTTCATAAAGTGGTGATTTTTGGTGGTCGTATGAATACCATGCGATAAAAGGCAACTTTTTCGCCTTGTATGATTGGTCCAAAACAGGGTATAACCCCCACAGTAGGAGAGTCATACCCGCAGACACTGAAAAAATCACGTAAACCCTTCTCCAATTAGCCAAAAATCGTTGAACTAGAGCTTCTTGCTCAGAATTCATTGGTTGAAAGATTTCTGCATCTAACATTCTCAAAAGATTTTTCACAATTTTTAGATTTTTATAAAATAAGACGAACTTTATCATTCCGGTGACTTCAGTTAACATTACAACTATTGAGGCCGTCAGAGTTTCCAGCTGGTCGTAGATAAAATACACATTAATTACCTGAGATAAATTATGACACACTACGATAAAAACGAAACACACTAGAGAATAAACTGTGTAGTAACTTTTTAGTGTGTGCTTTTCACCCTTCGGCCACAAGCCGCCGATTCTTAGTATGAAGATATTCATGTTTAGGGGAGACTTTAAGCTGAATTGTTTCATGATATTGGGAGATTTACTGTTGGTGTACGAGAGAAGTGTGCGATTATATAGTGGCTGTAATAACTTATTATTTGTTGTAAGTGAACACTCAAATTATTGGGTTTTGGAAGAACTCTGTTATTAGGTGACCTATTGATCGCGCCGTTCTGTAATTTTTAATTTTAATATTTAATAGCAAGTAAAGGGTAGGAGATAAATAATTTTGTGGTGGCGGGGTCCCGTATTGACCTTTGTAATGTAGGTGAGTGGTATGTTTGTCACTAAAACATTGCACAATAACTTCCAACATGCATCTATATTTTATAAATCGAACACAAATTTGAAATATTAGTAGATTTAATTTTTTTATTCTAATTAACTTGTCATAATTACAAAAATATGACCACTAATTTTGAGGTTTTTTTGAATTAGAACCCTCCATAAATTTAGTCGAAACCCAAATTGCGGCTAACCACAGACACAATGGCCGGAATTGATTATGTGGCTTTCGAGTAAGTAAAGGGTTTGTTCGTCTGTTGATTTATTTCCGTTCTTTCACTTTAAATTTATGGCGGCCTGAAAAAACTTTTAATTAACATGACCTCATTAATTATGCAAACTTTAATGGACTGAACAAAACGAAAACAATACGAAAAAATAATTAAGTAATTTTCATTAAAAGAAATGTGTTTTTGATGTAAAATATTTCAAGAACGTGATCAGCGTGTCGATTGTTGCTTGTGATATTAATTTACAAATTTTAGGTTTCGATGTCGAAAAAATGATAATTTTGATGCGCGCTGTGAATTGATTACATTTTTTTTTTTTAATAGAACACCCTGTATTTTGTTACTTCGCCTTATTCTGTTTTCTTGTTCTCTTTCTCTTTTGTTAAGTGTTATTTTCTACAATTAAAGTTGATGGTAATTGCGATTTTTACTTTTTTGAGGGGCACACAGTTACATTGAAAAAAGAGAACAAAAAATATAATGAGATGAAGTAAAAAATACAGGGTTCCATTTGAAAAAACTGAAATATCGAATTTTGTAAATTACAAGGTTTTAGTTTTTTTTTATTAATACTCTGTATGTTAAAATTTGATTTAATTGATACCACAACAAAGTGCGTACATCTGTTTATTTCTTCATAAAATATTACAACACAGATCTTAAGAATAACATTACAGAAAATTGAAATGATGTTGCAACGTCGCATGAGAATTTCAGAAATAGACTATAGTTATAAAGGGTAAGAAGAAGCCAATGGCAATATTTTAAAATATAGAGTGGTTTCTATTTTAAAAAATTAAGTTGTGTGCTATGCCTCAGAATCAAAACACTCTGTATACCGGAAAATAATTGTAATATATACGACTCAAAGAATCGAATTTCGATATCTGACTTTTTTTCTATGTCTGACAATAAATGAGATATCGGGGATCGCACGCTTTATGACCCACCCTGTATATACAGGTTACTACTTTTAAAACACACTCATGGACAAAAATATAGAATATTTACTCACCCATACCGCTGGGATGAGGAATATTTTCATTAGATTGGCCACCCTATAGCCCAGATTTAAATTTCAATCGTCATTTTGAAAAAAATTATGAAAATTTCAAACATATTTTTGTCCATGAGTGTATAAGATTTCGACCTACGTTTAGTTACTGTCATTTGTTAGTACATTTAGGGCACAACATTAGGTTCTAATTTTTCTGTAGAAAATATATAATTATCTACCATTCTTAGTTGATTGAGCCATGTTAACCTTTTTTTTCTTTTGGAAATATTTTGAAAATTTTAAACTAATTTTTTACTTTTATTTTTAAATAGGCATTGTGAGGGCGATTTCGCATCTGTAATTGGCGGAAGAATATCAATAATTTGATACCAAATCTTAGTCGATTGAACCCATTTTAACCATTTTTTTTTTTGGAAAAATTTTGAAAATTGTAAACTCATTTTTTACGTTTATTTGAATACACGTCGTAATGGCAATTTCGAATTTGTACTTGGCGGAAGATTATTTATATTTTGACACTTATTCTCAGTCTATTGAACTTACTACCATTTTTTTGCGGACAATTTGGAAAGTGTAGACGCATTTTTTCGCGTTTGTTTGAATAGATGGGGTACGGTGATTTCAGATTCGTAATTAGCGGAAGATTATCTGCAATTTGACATCAATTTTCAGTAGATTGAACACCTTTTATCAATTTTTTTTTTTTGGAAAAATTTTGAAAATTGTAAACTAATTTTTGCAATTAAGTACCTATTTGAATAGATATTGTGACAGCGATTTCGGATTTAGTTTTTCTTAGTGGATTGAACCCATTTTAATAATTTTTTTGAAAAAAATTTGAAAATTGTTAACTCACTTTTCACGTTTTTTTGAATAGATGTGAGGATACTTTCGGATTTGTAGTTAGCGGAAGATTATCTAAATTTGACTCAAATTCTGTAGTTTGAACTTAAATTAACCATTTTTTTTGAAATATTTTTATTTGAATACTTAGATATCGTCATGGGGATTTTGGATTTGTAATTATTTCATTTTTTTGGGAATATTTTGAAAAGTATAGACTCCATTTTTCATGTTTATTTGAATAGATATCGTGACGGTGATTTCAGATTCGTAATTACCAAAAGATTATCTACAATTTATTTAATATCAATTTTTTAGTCGATTTCAACAATTTTTTTTGTAAAAATTGTGAAAATTGTAAACTCATTTTTTACATTTATTGGAATAGATGTCGTGACGGCGATTTCGCATTCATAATTAAAGAACGGTTTTCTACAATTTGACACCATTTATCAGTCGATTGAACCCATTTTAATCATTTTTTTGAAAAAATTTTGAAAATTTTTCACTTTTCACGTTTCTTTCAATAGATGTTGTGACGGTAATTTCGGGTTCGTAATTAGCGGAAGATTATCTAAAATTTGACTCCAATTGTCAGCCGATTGAACCCAATTTAAGCATCTTTTAGAAACATTTTGAAAATTTTACATCCAATTTTTATGTTTAATTTTGAAAAAATCTGACCGGGATTTCGAATCGTAATTCGCGAAAGAATATCTACAATTTGACACCAATTCTTATTCGATTGAACTCAGTTTAATTTTGGAAATATTTAAACAAATTTAAACTCAATTTTTACGTTTAATTTTGAAAAAATCTGACCGAAATTTCGGATTCATAAGTCGCCGAAGAATATCTACAGTTTGACACCAATTTTTAGTCGATTGAATCCGATTTAACAATTTTTTTGGAAAAATTTTGAAATTTGTAAATTCAATTTTTACGTTTATTTGAATAGATGTCGTAATGACGATTTCGGATTTGTAATTGGCGGAAAGTTATGTATAATTTGACAGTAATTCTTGGTCGATTGAACTTACTAAAATTTTTTGGGGAAAATTTTGAAAAGTGTTGATTGAATTTTTCATGTTTATTTGAACAGATGTCGTATAGCCATTTTAGACTCGTAATTAGCGGAAGATTATTTACAATTTGACATCAATTTTCAGTTGTTTAAATCCATTTTATCCATTTTTTCAGGAAAATTTTGAAAATTGTAAACTCATTTTTTACTTTTATTGGAATGGATGTCGTGATGGCGATTTCGCATTCGCAATTAAAGAACGGTTTACTACCATTTGACACCATTTATCAGTCGATTGAACTCATTTTTACCATTTTTTTGAAAATTTTAAACTCATTTTTCACGTTTCTTTGAATAGATGTCGTGACGGTAATTTCGGGTTCATAATTGGCGGAAGATTATCTAAAATTTGACTCCAATTGTCAATAGATTGAACCCAATTTAACCATTTTTTGGAAACATTTTGAAAATTTTAGATTCAATTTTTACCTTTAATTTTGACAAAATGTGACGGAGATTTCGGATTCGTAATTTGCGGAAGAATATCTACAATTTGACACCAAATCTTAGTCGATTGAACCCATTTTAACCTTTTTTTTTTTGATAAGTTTTGAATATTTTTTACGTTTATTTGAATAGATGTCGTACGACGATTTTAGATTCGTAATGAACGGAAAATAATCTTCAATTTGACATGAATCTACAGTCGATTGAACCCATTGTAACAAGTGTTATAAAAAAAATTTGACACAATTTTTCAGTGGATTGAAGCCAATTTAACCATTTTTTTGAAAAAAAATTGAAAGTTGTAAACTTAATTTTCACGTTGTTTTGAATAGATGTGACGGTAATTTCGGATTTGTAATTAGCTGAAGATTATCTAAAATATGATTATAAATTTTTAATCGATTGAACCCATTTTAACCATCTTTTGAAAATATTTTGAAAATTTTAAACTCAATTTTTACGTTTAATTTTGAGTAAATGTCGTGAGGACGATTTCGGATTTGCAACTCGCGGAAGAATATCTACAATTTGACACAATTCTTACTTGATTGAACCCATTTTTTGGAAATATTTTGAAAATTGACTACTCATTTTTTGCATTTACTTTTGTAGATATCGTAATGGCGGTTTCAGAGTTGTAAATGGCTGAAAATTATTTATAATTTGACGTCAAATCTCAGTCGATTGAACATATTTCAACCATTTTTTTGGGGAAAATTTTGAAAAGTGCAGACTCCAATTTTCATATTTATTTGAATAGATGT